TGCTCCTCCCTGCTACAAAAATAAAATAAAAATCTTGCATAATATTTGTCGCGTGAAGAACGAGTTAAAATAAATTCAAATAAGGTTTGTAGCAATTAACTTGCTAGACCCCGCCCCCACTCCCCCCCCCCCCGGCTGGGACCTTCAAAGACTCCTAATCTTAACCCCCCCCCCCCCCTTCAGCCGTCTGTGCTGCCGATTCCCAGCTGTTGTTCAAAGTCCAATCCTGCAGTCTCTGACTGACTGACGCCCACTGTTCCTGTACGCCAAATACATCTAATGTAAGTTACCCGCCGTATAAAAGCCAAATGGTCACACTACGCACTTAGCAACTTTAATTACGTTCAACTGCAGCATTAATAAGCAATGTAACTGTTTGGAAGAGACACGTGCAGCGTGCTTTAAATACCTCGGGAAGACGACCAAAGACGTGTATGTAATTTAAACATCACATTTGCGCTCTGAATTAACGGAGTCTTTTATGATTAACTACATTCATTACTTTAACATTGCGTTGTTTTATCTTGTTGAGCTTGAAATTCGTATTCATCTCATCTGCGTTATGCACATTCCATCTCCGTTGATAGTTGTGTATTTGCTTTGATTGATTTGTGATTTCTTGCCGTGTCATTTGCTGCTTTTTACGTTTGTGCTTTTCTTCTGTCACTCGTCTCGATTGAAAAAGAGGCCTGCACTCTCAATCGGTTCTCATCTGGTAGAAAACACCTGGGTTCTCATCTGGTAGAAACACCTGGGTACTCACCTGGTAGAAAACACCTGACCTGGGATCTCACCTGGAAGAAAACACCTGGGTACTCACCTGGTAGAAAACACCTGGGTACTCACCTGGTAGAAAACACCTGGGTTGTTACCTGGTAGAAAACACCTGGCCTGAGTTCTCGCCTGCTTTAAACACCTGAATCAATACGTTTTACAATCTCCCATCAGCCCGAAGCTCGGATTCCCACATCTGTTGTGCACAAAATCTCGGACGTGTGAGAAGGGAAATACAGTATCTCACAACGCCTGAAGAGGGAAAGAATGACAAGTGAATGCATTTCCTCGAGTTTTGTAGTCATTGGGGGTCGTGTCATTACGCAACTCGTATCAACTGGGACTTGTAATACCCTCGGAAGACTTCACAGATTTCCAAGGGCAGCAGCTACCTCTATAAAAGGAGAAATCCCTGAGTAAACCAGGACAAGTGACAACCCCCTAGAGAAAGCTTGCAAGAGTACATCTGGCATTAACACTTCAACGTAGCGAGTTGTCTCATTAATTCAGCGAAGCAATTGACGGTTTTTTTTTTATCTAACAGATTTAAACATTAATAACGAGCTACTTAAAACACGGTTTAACTTGCTTCTTCTACGGCAGTTTTTGTTCGACGCGAAAGCGGGACATTGCAGACACAAGGGGAGAGGCTGGGGACGGAGAGCCTCGGTTTTCAAAATGCCATCACCAATCATCTTTCCCCCGCACGTGTGCGCGAATCGGTACAGTGCACCGTGCGTTTGCACAGTGCCAATTGCCCCCCACCCCCCCCCCCCCCCAGCGAAGAGCATGTTCTTTCATGAAGGTTTATTTCAAGACGATTGGCTGAATAAACGGAGTTGTTGATATGTTGAGTAACATGTGGCTTTTTGATTCTGAAGCTAAGCTAGCTTGCCTTCCTCCTCCTCCATCCCTTTAAAAAAAAAATCCATCCCTTTCTTTTTAACAATCCACCGCTGGATGAACTCCCCCCCCCCCACGTCACGTGGCCCCTACACGTTGTGTGACGGCAGCGCGACACAGGGCATGGAATACTGTGTACGAACAATAATCGATTCCTGCAGTAATACTCCAACGTGCGTCTCCCCCTTTGACGTCGTTTCGCAAATACGTCGTGACGTTATTAACACCCCCACACTCACGTCGCTGACGGCATCATCATCATCCGCCCTGCCTCGTTATCCGTCGCCTCTCAGCCTTCGCCTCCACCCTATACAAGAACCACGTCGCGTGTAAATACATGTGCTGTACTGTAGCGTACAATATATGACTTCTCTACGGTATTTGTAGTGACGTGGGAAAACAAGAAAACTGCTTTTCATTTACGTACTTCCATCGTTGCACCCTTTTTGAGGTACGCATCCCCGACGTTAAACGGGGAATCCCTATTACATTCAATTCGTTCACTTGACCCCCACCAGCGACTAGAGGCCGTTATGTTCGCCGACATGGGAACAAAGAATACACGTGGTTGTTTCTCGAAAGGAATTGCAACCTCCGAATGGCGATCGCTCAGGTGTGGTGGGAAGGGGGAGATCGCTACGTCGGATCGAATCCGTGGGTGGCTGGCGGAGAAATGTTCGGCACATCATGGACATGGCCCAAGACGAGCAAGATCCATTAAGGGACTTGATAATAAACCACAGGTACTTGGTATGGAGCAACCAATCGATTAGTATCGATCCGCACACTCCGTGATGCAATAAAGCGTCTGAGGATCGATTTTTTTTTACGATGAGTGCCAATTACGTGCTGATCACATGGCAATGTTACCTTGAGGGCAATTTGGGATGAACAAAAACAGCACAAACGAGACGGAACAAATGAGAAACGGGACAAAATAATCCAGTAGAACCCCTCTTAACGACGGTGATTGGTTCCACGAAACCGGCCGTTAAGTGATTTGATCGTTAAGCGAGGACAGGACATAAACGTTAAAGGCTTAATACGTTCCGATATAATCTAAAGTTACCCATTTTCACCCAAAAAACGTACTTTATGATATTCAAACTATGGGATATTAATACACAAAGATACTAACAACATTATAAAACATCATATTAAAAGAAACATGGTTAATCAATGCATTCATTTATATTTGCTGTACCGACAACAGCCCGTCAACAGGGGAATGGTCGGTAAGCGAACACGCTGGGCTCTATGGAAGCGCATCGTGAAGCGATTGGTCGTTAAGAGGGGTGGTCGTCCATAGGGCGTCTAATTAAATTGATTTATTATAATCATTATAGATTAGAGACCAGCCATGAATTGTGAGAAGTCATCGAATCGAGGATTGTGTGAGTTGCGTGCCTGCTGTATTCTCCAGATCTTCTGTTCTGTCCTCCTCACTGAGACACCGTACGCTCTGTATTAGACATTCCCCCACCTTTATTTCAAGTCAATATTTCAGGATGCGTCTTATAGTAATCGAGTCGGTGTGTGTATGCGTGGGACCAGATTTGCATACCTTTAGCATCGGGCACGAGCTTCGGGTGCGTCTTACTCTTCCAGAGATTCTTATCATCGAGAGAATACGGTGTCCGTTCACAGCAGCACCCACTCTCCGCACCGCACCCCAACTTGGCTATTTCCAACAACCGCCCCACATCCATCTCAACCTCTGGGCGTGTGACACCGAACTCGGCAGGCAGCACTTTCTCAATCAGCTGGCCGAAAGGACTTCATCGCTGATTATCTGTCGGGTGACTTGTGTTCATATATTTAGCAGCGGGGAAATTGGGAACCAGAGCGAAGCTGTTATTAAAATGTTTGGTGCCTGGCTACGGGAGGTTGATGTGGGTGGGTGGATGGGGGGGGATGTCTCGTTGGTGGTAGAGACGTAAGGGCAGGATGGGGAGGGGGGGTGGGTGGAAGTGGACTAGAGGGAGACGGGTGTGATAATCATCATATAACAACCAAAAATGGAACGCATCATTGTAATAATCAGAAGCAGCGCAGCACGTGCAGTAGCACGTGCAGCAGCACGTGCTGCAGCACGTACAGTATGTGACGAAAGGTCGTCGTAGAGAGTGTCGCCTGATGCCGGCACGCCCTGCCATCGCTTCCTTCCCTTCTGCTTCAGTCCCTTTTGTACTTGCCAAAACAGTTGACAAGCCACTCTCACACTAGCCCACCCAGATCCCCCCCCCCACCACCATCTGGCTTCGCGTCGTCACCTCGATTGCCAATTTCGAAATGAGAAGTGCTGGCGACAGGAACATTCCTAGCAGGGTTGCCAAGCTGCCAGCGTTCGATTACGCACGCGCGCGGCGGTCGGGGGGGGGGGGGGGGGGTGTAGGGGGGGGGGTTGATTGCTGGGCAGCCAACCGCATGGTCCAGCAGTGGAGAGTTTGTGCCGGCGATGAATTTCTCCAATCATTGTCGCCTCTGTCCAAATTGCAGCATAGCGTGCGGTCCTACGCTGCAGGATTGGTCAGTCGGTGGATCACTATAATTCGGGTAAAGTGTGGGAGCAGCAGGACCGGCAGCAGTAGCAACAGGATCAGGAGGAGCAGCAGGAGGAGCAGGAGCAGCAGCAGCAGGAGGAGCAGCAGCAGCAGGAGTTTTCATCAATCCACTCACTGCTGGATGAAGGCATCCATCCCTAAACCGTCGCCATCTCTCATAGTGCTGCGATGTAACAATCCCCCCGGAACCCAACACACGACAACGATTTCATCGCTCCGTGGACGTCCCCTCGGACGCGGAATCCCGCCCGCCCCCTCCCCCCTCCCCCCTCCCGCGTTGCCTAAAAGTATGAGTACCACCCGACCCAATTCGAGTGGTACATCTGGCCACAGTGGCGAGATGTTAGCTACCTCGCCTAGGTTACAGGAGGTCGTGGGTTCGATCCCGACCGTGATACCTGCCGTATATTTGGAGTTTGCATGTTCTCTCTCTCCCCGTGATGGCATGGATTTTTCTCCCGCGTTTAGAATCACCATCACGCGTTTAGAGTCATTTGCCCGCTATGAATTTCCACACGATAAGCCACTTTTGTTGAGCTATCGTTTGTGGCCAGGTCGCTTGTGAAAACAAAAAAGAGCTACCTAGCTCAGTGGGGCCTTACCTGATACAATAAGAGTTGAGTCGTAATTCGCCTGGCCTGTTTTTGTCGCTGTCCGCGGTGCTGACCGATACAACTCGCCGTTTCAGTGCTGCCCGTTGGTGCAAACACACCGGGCTGCTCCGTTAAGATACGAGCACTGTACACACACTCAACAGCCTTTGGTCTTGACAGTACTCACCCCCCCCCCTTGTGTAATGCAGTTTTTATTTTTGATAACAAAATGCAATACGCATACACGGATACATACATATACGCACACACAGCCAGTTATATATTTTGTATTTCATATCGTATATGCTTGAATAATTTATATTAAATGACGTATATAAACTCTGACAAACCACGGTTTTTTGTCTTTCATTTAAATATCCTTCCTCTAGTTTAGTGCACGCATCGGGTAACGTAGAATATTGCTATAAAATCCCGCAAAATCATCGCTACCATCGTCAACGTTCCGGTTACCCAGAGGCCCCTATGTTGAACAATTCCCCGCAACAACAACAACAACAAAAATGGTTGCTTGCATGGGAGGCAAAACAAATGGTGGTCGGGGTGAGCCACCCTCCCATGGGTTCCGGGGGTTATTGTCATCCGCGGACCTAGCAGCGAGAAACTAAACTCTCTCTCTCTGCTACGTTTGACCTGGCAACTGTAGCCAGGCTCTGATTAGGTAATTTCACAGCACATCAACCACCGTCTTGCCTTTTCCTCGCACCATATTGGGGGACGAGGAAGGGAGGGGGGGGTTGCGAGAGAGCGACAAACACGCAAACAAACAAACAAACGAACAATCGAACAAAGAGAGAAACGCCCGCATTGAAAAGCTGCGCTAGTGGTCAGACGGGCGTTAACTTGCATCCCATGCAGAATGTCCTTTGGCATGAATGGGAAGAGGTGGAAGAGAGGGGGGGGGCGGTCGTTACCGTCTCGTTGTGTGGTTGTTCTCGGGTTCACGAGGACGGACCCACGCTGGAGAAGATGCCGCGTCTGTAGACGGCGGCGTTGTTATCATTTGTTTTGTGATTATTATTATCATCATCATCATTATTATTAGATTTTTTTGCGCTTAAAAAAACTCGGTCCGGCTGCACGTCGCCGTCGTCGCGTGGGCCATTACCGCTCGCCTTGGCCGCGACCGCTCGCCCTCGACCTGACCCCTCCGCTGCCCCTCCGACGAGGCGGCAGCGGAGGGTGGCCGTAGGGCGAGCGCGGGGTCAAGGCGAGCCGCGGGCGGGCGGTCGGTCGGGCAGACGGACAGGCGGGCGGGCGGAGGAGGAGGAGGCAGGCGGAGGGCCCCAGGGCTGCGTCAGAAGTGACCGTTTTTGGAGAGGTACGCAATGAGCGCGACGGCGAGGCCCACGTAGATGCCCGTGCCGATGGTGATGGAGAGGACGGCGAGGAAGAGCGCCCGGCGAGACGACGCGCTGGCCTGGTGGAGGTCTCCCTTGACAATCGCCCTGCTCGTCTGTGTGGAGCGTGCGAGACGGAGAACAACACCACCACGCAAACAGTGTCGGCAAAGCCTGGCCTGCTGCCGATGAGTGCCACGAGGTCAAAACTGTTGGTTTGTGTTTCCCCACGAACACGTTTAATTTAACACGTAGGCTTTCGCGACCAATATTATTCATAATAAAGGTTTTTTGGGTTAGATCGCGTTTATTTATAAATGTGTCGTAACCCTCCACCACCCGACACGGCCAATCAGCAAAAAAAAAAGTGTCACGTTGACAAAAGACAAATAGTTCACTACTTTAGCCCACCGGTGTGTTGAAGAGTGAATCCACAACATTTACAGTTTGAGTACGACGTTTCGCTGGTAAATACATCCGGCATCATCGGGCAATTCGCCAGAATGGTAAAGCCCTCACTTGCTCCCGGTTTTATATAGAGCAGCAGGGTGACGTCATCATTTAACTCATATCAGGTGCAGTGATTAGAGGCGGAGGGGGGGTATTGTAATTATATAATCGATTAGTAATCAGTCAATGGTTATGATTAGTAATGAGTTGTAGATTAGTAATTAGTTGTAATGTGTGTTAGTGATTATATGCTATGTTAGTAATCCGTTAATTAGCATGTGTTTCCCCTATAAGGAATTGTAATGTGCATTCAACACGTTTAATGCCCGATGGTGGGCGTAGTCCTCGTGTGTGTAGGTGATGGTGCACATTCACCAGGGCCCGCCGTTGCCAGAGGGGCTCGGGCACGGGGGTTACGAAGATGGGGGGGGGGGGGGGGGGGTGAAGGAGAAACTGGACAGGGGCCGGTTCAGATAATCGCCGCACGTTTTGACCGCGAGCGGGGATCGAACTCGCTCGTGTTTGTGTTGTCGTGCTGGCAGATTTTACCCGGCGGGACAGGCAGAAGGCGGCGATTCCTAGCGGCCAGAAGCAGCAGAGCATGGTGAAGACGGAGAGGCTGAGGTGGTCGCGCGGTGGGAGGGCCATGAAGTGGTCCTCGCTCTCAGTGTCGCTCGAGTAGTCGCTCTGCGGGGCACGGCACGCGCCCGGGGGGTGGGGGGGGGGGGATTTCGGCACGCGTCACGTGCTTTGGAATCGCTGACGTCGTCGTCATCGCCGTCGTCATCGCAGTCGTCATTGTCGTCGTCACAATTGTCACCATCGTGATTTTAAACATGGCATTGTCATCACCGTGAACAGGTCATTATTATTATTATTATCAGCATCTGAATAACGTGTCGTTAGTAATGATTATGAACAGGGCACCACCATCACAACCATCATCATTTTGAGCAGCTGGCATTGCTGGGATCTATCGATCAGCTGACACGGAGCGATGGGCCACATGCTGCCCACGAGGCCTAGGCTTTGTGGTTACTGCTTAAACCAAACCTTGGGAATGTCGCAATAGATACGTGGGGAATTCACCAGAAGAATGCACTGCACCTGAACACAGTTCCACCGTGTTTGTGTAATATCACTGCACCTGAACACAGTTCCACCGTGTTTGTGTAATATCACTGCACCTGAACACAGTTCCACCGTGTTTGTGTAATATCACTGCACCTGAACACAGTTCCACCGTGTTTGTGTAATATCACTGCACCTGAACACAGTTTCACCGTGTTTGTGTAATATCACTGCACCTGAACACAGTTCCACCGTGTTTGTGTAATATCACTGCACCTGAACACAGTTTCACCGTGTTTGTGTAATATCACTGCACCTGAACACAGTTCCATCGTGTTTGTGTAATATCCCTGCACCTGAACAGTTCCATCGTGTTTGTGTAATATCACTGCACCTGAACACAGTTTCACCGTGTTTGTGTAATATCACTGCACCTGAACACAGTTTCACCGTGTTTGTGTAATATCACTGCACCTGAACACAGTTTCTCCGTGTTTGTGTAATATCTATCGAGCATGTGTGCACTAAGGAAGCAAAGAGTGGCTTGAAATGGAAGAGATGAGATTACGAAGATGGATGTTGGGAATATATCTTCAGTGAAAGGAAGCGGAATGAACAAGTTGGACCCTTAGCAGGGGTTCATACTATTCTAAAGAAGGTAGGAATTAGACAGTCGACTGAGATCTTGATTTGAAACTTTCGTGACTGCAGGAATCCATACTCTTTGGTTTTTTCGGTTACCGAAAGAACCAAAGAGTATAGTAGACTGAGATGTTCGAGTATGCATTGAGAAGAGATAAAAAATATGCAACTCGAAGGTCTATGGAGAGTAGAGACCCGTATACTCACGCAGAGGCCCATAGACTCACACAGAGGATCCTAGACTCACACAGGGGCCGATAGACTCGCGCAGAGGATCCTAGACTCACACAGGGGCCGATAGACTCGCGCAGAGTCCTATAGACTCACGCATGTTCACGTTGATTCGAAGGGATATGGGGATGCCACCGGTGCAGAGAACGAGTGGAGGGAGAGAGGGGAGGATGCCGTGGATCGAGACGAGAGGACAGCGGATGAGACGAGGCACAGAGTAGAAGCTCGTGGAGAAGGAAGCTGTGAGCAGCCTGTCCCTATGCAGTCATTAGGACTTCTGGCTTCGAAGTGGCGTTTTCTTTCCTCCGGGTATAATACAGCCAATAAATACACTTCACGCTGCGTAATGTGCCGTGAGTGACTCCAATCCAAGCGATGCTTTCTATCGTCTCGGTAATCCAATCTTTACACGGCACGCGACTTTTATTTATCAACGTGGCCAACCGATGATGAACGCGCCGATACGATTAAAACCCCGTGACATCTGCGGCTATCGTAATTGCGCTGTGAGATCATCATTACTTATTAACTTTATTTTTGTCCCACTCCCATCGTAGAAACGGTGGGGGAGGGGAGGGGGGGGACACCTTCCGACGTGAATCGCGCCCCAACATTTAAACAACGCTTAGCGGAATCTTCCCCGGCGCGTGGGGCGTGTGGGGCGGTGGGAACGTTTCCGCTTGAAGGCTGCGCGTCACAAGCGACCCCTTCTCTTCCTCCTCTTCCTCCTCCTCGTTGTTGTCGTCGCCGCGGCTGCCGCTGCTACCACGGTCGCTCGTGGGCAACGGAGAAGCGGTGCACGCGGAGAGCCACAGAGGGCCGAGTCATGAAGTTGGCGCTACCCCCGGGGGTTCGCGCGCGGGCTCGCCCGCGCCTGCGCGCACCCACGCACCTCGTGCGCTCTTCAAATTACAAAAAGATAGAAATATATAATTATCTCCCGCGAAAAAAACCGTGGAAATATGTTTTCTGTCAGACACTTTCCGAGCCGTGGAACGAATCCGCCTTCTCTCCGGCGCAGGGAACAAAGTTCCGAATTCTGAATGAATTGCTGTGTTTTTTTTAAATCCCAAGCACTGGCCTAAAAGCTCAAGTGTCTAAAAGCAACCCAGTACTGTTACAGTTGTATTATGTTGTATGTATGTGTGTTGAACTTCTTTCGCACCGTACGCAGCCAATCGTGATAATCGGAGGTGTGGGGGGAAGGACAACAAACTAAACCGACCAACAAGCAGTTCTGACGAAATGATGTTTCACTTTAGATTGATGTGAGATTATTTAGTTTGAATTGATCATGGCTTACTGTAAGAACGTGAAAAAATGTTACGGTTGAAGGGAATTTCAAAGTGGAGCAGTAAGAGGGAAGAAGCAGGGATGAGAAGCGTGGTGAGCCGCAATGTGGTGAGTGGATGAGTCGGTGAAGTGTGGTGAGTGGGTGAGTCGGTGAAGTGTGTGGGTGAGTGGGTGAGTAGGTGAAGTGTGTGGGTGAGTGGGTGAGTAGGTGAAGTGTGTGGGTGAGTGGGTGAGTAGGTGAAGTGTGTGGGTGAGTGGGTGAGTCGGTGAAGTGTGTGGGTGAGTGGGTGAGTAGGTGAAGTGTGTGGGTGAGTGGGTGAGTAGGTGAAGTGTGTGGGTGAGTGGGTGAGTAGGTGAAGTGTGTGGGTGAGTGGGTGAGTCGGTGAAGTGTGTGGGTGAGTGGGTGAGTAGGTGAAGTGTGTGGGTGAGTGCGTGAGTCGGTGAAGTGTGTGGGTGAATGGGTGAGACTGTTTGCTGTGACCTGCAGTGTGGTGGTAGGTCGAACGCAGTGTTCTGGTACACCGCGATCTCATCGTCGTTGGAGGAATCAATGAGTGGCGTTCACGGCACCAGTGGCCATGGTAGGAGTACAAGTAGTAGCGATAAAAGGGTGATAAAGCGGGTGACTGACTACCGGCGACCGAACGACCACAGTCATCCCGGGCCGCTTTACGTCGAACGGAACTAAATGTCTCTCGACTGCATCCGCGCACCGTGCCTCCCCTGCCCAAGCCGTTGTCACCTGTGCACATTTCATTGACACCTGTGGCATTGGAGATTGCGTGGAACTTCCTTTACCGCAGGCCTCCACGCTGCACACTCCCTTTCCCCTTGTTCAAGTGCTTTGCCCCCCCCCCCCCCACCCACTCTGCCTATGGCAGTTTCCGTCCATACTTAAAATAAACATTCCCACTCCCGGTAAACACGCAACGTTGCGCCAACGTTGGCACGTGGTTTGAACCGTTGGACCAACATTCGCCTAACGTTGGCCCAACAACGTTCACATGTGTTGACCGGCCCTTTGTGTACAACAGCAATGGGCCTCGAGTGTTGTCGGGTTGACAGTGCAGAAGCGAGGGCGCCGCAGTGGTGAGATGTCAGCTACCTCGCTTGGTATGCAGGAGGTACGTGGGTTCGATCCCGACCCTGGCGCCTGCTGCTGCTGTATATTCGGAGTCTGCGCGTCTCTCTCTCCGTGGTCGTGTGGATTTTTCTCCAGGGTTTTTGGCTGCTGTAAATTTCTACGCGTTAAGCGACCTCGTTGAGCTATCATTTGTGGCCAGGTCGCTTCTGAAAAAGAGCTGTATAGCTCAGTCGGTCTTTTACTTTAGTTGAATCTAGTGTTGTACTGCATTATTCTCCAGCGTCTATGCTCTCCACCTTCACCAACCCGCACTGGTCAGCGTGAAGTATAGTCAAATAAACACCACTACCTGCACTGGGTGGGGAGGCCCTCACCCAGCAGTGGATTTGACTGAAGGGCACTACATGAAAGATAAATGATCAGTGTTAGTACACTACTCATGGTACAACCCGTGATGACTTCCTACAGAGAGGTGAACGGTGCTCGGTTTATCGCCCATGAAAGCATGATGGGGTGGGATCGCTATCTCCGAACGGGGGATTGAACTCTCAAGTTATTCTACCCTGCAAGTCGCGTGCTCTACCCACTGCGCGGTGCAACCGCGTCGGACGTGCCGTGGATTAATCAGCATTCTCTCCAAGCCAATGTCGCTGTTATCTGACTGTGCTTCACAAACCGCGCTAATGGCATCATCGCCTACTCCCGGCATCAAACCCTCGTTTAAATCAACCACTTGCTCTGTGAGCAAACAGTCGAGCGCACAATTGACACAAATTATATTAGCACTCTGCGAGTAACATTTTTACGATTGACAGCCATACCCCGCTTAACGTCGGGGAATGCGTTCCTGAAAGACGCGACGACGAATATCGAAACGACGTCGAACAAAAGCGACGTTCAGGGGCAGTGAGGTGGAGGAAGACGAAGGCTGAGAGGGTGACAGATAACAAGGACGGACGACGATGATAATGATGCCGTCAGCGAAGTAAGTGTGTGTGTGGGGGTGGGGGGGGGGATGAGGCGACGCAAATCAAGTAGCGGTGTGAATAATAAAGTAACGACGTTAAAGGGAGCGAGACGTAAATCGGTGTGTTGTTGCCCTAGAAATATTCGGGGCATCTGTGACCTCGGGCGTCATGTGGAGTAGTAATTGGCGACGTAGGGCACTGCCACTCAGAGCACAAGGCATGACGTGGCGAGTACTCTGCCTACGTTATTTGCGAGATGGATGTGTGGACTGGGTGCCAAAATACAGTAATTCCCCAGAGCAGCGTTCTGGATTGCTGCCGGCCGAAATTACGAATAACCAAATCACCCGGAGTGTTCCCGGCCTCATCACATGCTGTAAGCTAAGCGGGAGCTTAGCCTGGATAATGCTTTCGTTTGGGCCACCGCAACGCTTTGAAACAGGGGTTCCAGTCCTGCGATAGGTTACATTGTCAGCAGAGGGCAGTGCTGAAGCACGCAACGCATTGTTGTACCGTACTGTGCTGCCACGTCTGCGCTGCCTTCACCAACCCACGTTGACCAGCGGGGTGAAGTATGGTTAACCAGCCAGTCCACCACGACCCTCACGGCGTGGGGAGGCCCTTAATTCAGCAGTGGATTCACACAGGGGCTGTACTTGTAGATAGAGCACGGTCGGGTTTTCTAAGTGTATGGTAACGATCATTATCGTGATGGTTGAAGCTCATCTTCCAATTTAATAGAATACTATAATCATTTGCTTTTTAGTTAGGACGTTCATCTGACCCACACCATAAACGGTGCGAGCGCAGGTGGCGTTTAACTCCCACGCCGTTGAAACGGAACGGTACATTGTTATTTAATTCTGTGTGTGTGGAGGGGTGGGGGGGACACTCCATAGCGGATTATAGGACGCACGTTTCCCAACCTGTATTGTAAAGAGAACGAAATGGGGGTTGCGAGCCTTATGTCCCGGTAAGCGTGCGCGTGCGTGGTGTTTGTGACAGCAGCGTAGCGATTAGCGCACTGCGTTACGAACCCCGGCGAACCGAGTTCGATTCCCGGTCACGGCCAACACCAGTGACGGTCCTGGGCCTCCCCTAGGTCGACTCGGCCTCAAATTAGTACCTAGTGCGGTATGTAAAATCATCGCCACTGGGGAGACAAAGGCGGCCGGGCGTGGTGCTGGCCACCCACCGCATCGTGTGCCGTACCGGCCTTCATAGGTGGTCGCTAACAGCACTTTCCCCAGCAGTCTGCTAAGGCTTCACGGGGAATCTTTGTCTTGTGTGTGACAGATCCGATTTGTAAAACTTTTTTGACACCGGAGCACAAGTTTTTTTGTGGGGGTGGAGGGGAGGGTATTTCTTTTCTTTTTCCGCAGCGTCTTATAATCCGGAGGAATACGGTAGCCACGTGCGGCCTCTGCGTTCCGAACTCATTGAGGAATTCATCTGGGTGGCGTTATCATCAGTGTCACCGCACCCGTGCTGTTTGCTGGGGCTTTTGCGATGTGGGGTGGGGTGGGGGGAGAGCCCTCATCCAGCAGTGGATTGACAAAAAAGGGGTGGGGGCCTGCCTGTACGTGTGTGTACTACCGCTACGATATTACGATTACAACAACAACAAACTGCAGCCACGTGGTGCAGCTGTCGTAATTCGTCTCAATTAAAAGCGGAACAACACAATGAGTGATCGTGGCAAATAAACGGAGGGCTTAATTTATCGCTGAATGTGTTCCAAGTCGCTGGGAGACTGCGTGGGGTAGCCATGCGATTCGTATCAATAGCGAGATGTATAATACAAATAAGTTAACAATTGATAACGCGTGCATATTCACGAAACGGCAGTGTTTAAACGTTCAGAGCGCGAACCGGGAGACGGAATTGCCTCCCCAGTTATTCGCCGGGACCAAAACCCCCGTAAATAAAAAAATAAATGTAAGCTCTGAATTCACTTCAAATGGGCTCTAGGCGCAGCCATGGAATTCCCTGCTCACGCCACCGCCGGGAGCTCGATAAGGCTCCTCTAAGATGGTACCTTGGCCTACTCTTCCACGCCGGCCAGGCGCCTTGGAAACAGCGGGGGTGCCCTCACTTTACCCCGCCACGTGCACGGGAACTGCCAGTCCCAGCGTGCTCGACGCATCAATTCTGCCAATAGTTCCAAAAATTGCCACGCCGTGTAGATAAATCACAACTCGTCGACCTCTGAATCATCGCCTCGCGTTGCAATGGCTCCAACCGCTCAATGAACGCTTTGCACCGTCACGTTCCAAACCGTGCAAGCGCGAACACCGCACGGCGAGCGACACATACCTGTACCCGGTCGTAGTGGCCTCCCGTTAAGGTCGACTCAGCATGACACATTGAGAACACACCTGAGCGCGGTGTGCGTGCGACGAGCTACGGTACAGTCTACAACAACGCGCAGCGGTGAAACGGCTTCGTTAACGTAACGAGAGAGCGATTTGGTGGCGATTTGGGGTGGCCTTACGTCGAGCTCGTGGAAATTCTCGTCTTCCTCGTCCGTGTCGTACGAATCCGTGTGCACGTGGGCATCGCTCGTGGCCAGCCCGCAAAAGTCCGGCTCGGGCAACACATCGGCCGGCCTGATCCGTCCCTCGCTAAACGTCGTCTCGCAGCACTCGGCCACCGGCTCCTTGTGCAGCAGCAGCAGCTGCGGCGGCGGCGGCGGCGGCAGTGGCGGCGCCTGCTGGGCCCGCGTGCCCATGAACCCCGCGCCCGGGTCGGTGGCTACGGCCGCCCGATGAGCGGCAAAGGAGGCGAAGCCCGGGCCGTAGTAATACGCCTCCATTGCCTTCTGCAGGGCGCGGGGGTCGAGAGGTTGCACGGCTCTCTCGTCCGCCTCCTGCCGCCAGCGCTGAAGAGGCTGCTCCTTGTAGAGAGGGGCAGGGTACCGCGCCGCGTGCGTCTGATCCGAGCCCAGAGCCTCGCACTCCGAGCAGAAGCTGCGGTGGTCTTGGTGGGGTTGCTGCTGTTGCTGCTGTTGATGATGGTGGTTGCCATTATGGCCCAGTGCTGCGCTCCGAGTAGTGGTGGTGGTGGTCATGTTGTGGTGCGCCATGGCAAGCGAAAGAACGTGCCTTGTTACCGAGTGCGCGGACAGCCCAGAGGGCTGCGACGTACGTACGCTGAACTTCTTTCGCGCTGTACGTAGCCAACAGCGCTACTCGGAGGTGCGCGGTGGAGAAGGAGCGGGTAACGGAGGAGACAGCCGGATCGTGTGATCGCGTCGTCCTCTCTTCGTTATTCTTCTCCCGCGTCTCCTCCTCCTCCACCGCCCCCCCCCCCCCCCCCCCCGTTGAGCCGCTTCCCACCTTCGGGACGCAACCGCGCGATGTTTTCCTTGCCGGGGCTTGCGGACGCACGCGGCCGAGATGGCGGGCGGAGTGAGGTCTCGAGGTGAGGTCTCGAGGCGCGTGCGACACGATGGACTCGTGCCCGTACCACCCCCCCGGTCGCACTTCTCTAAGACGCCGGTGGCAATGTGGCTGCAGGAGATGACGGACGGGGGCTATTTGCTGCCGGGTTATCGCGATGAACACCAGCCGCCCCCATCCTTCGCCACCACCACCACAATCAGATTCATCATCAGCATCGCCAACAGCGTTACATCGTCTCTATTTTAGCCACATTGCTGGGAATGCCGCGGCGTGCAGCTGTGTGAGGAGGCACGCGAGGAGGCGCCTCACTCAGATGCGTCTGAATCCGTAGCTGGGAGCTGGAATTGGCACCGCCTCGAGCGAAAGAGCGAAGTGGAGCGTAGCGATGCGTCTCTTCTGCTGCTGCTGCGACGACGAAGATGATGATACTACTGCTGCTGCTACTGTTGCAGTGGTGGCATGCTACCTCTGAAGTGGTGTGGTGGTCGTTGCTGCGGTTGGTGAATATTGCTACTGCTGCTACTGCTGCTGTTACTGCTACTGCTGCTGCTGTTACTGCGGTGGTGGTGGCTGCTACTGCTGTTGTTGGTGCTGCTGCGCCTGCTGGCTCCTATCGCTGCCTCTGGTGCTGCTGCTGCTGCTGACTGATGAACACTGCCTCGCGAGCGACAGCAGGAGGATGAGATGGCTTATCCGGTTTCGCGATTCTCGCTCGAGGAGCTTCGCGCTCCGAGACCATTCACACGCAGAGCGCGCTTCTCTGGATCTGTGCGCGCTTGTGTGTACGTGTATGTGTGTTGTGTGTGTACGTGTGTGTGGACGTGTGTAGACGTGTGTGTTGTGTGTAGACGTGTGTTTGTTGTGTGTGTGGACGTGTGTGTTGTGTGTGGACGTGTGTGTGGACGTGTGTGTGGTATGTGTGTGTGGACGTGTGTGTGTGTGGACGTGTGTGGACGTGTGTGTGTACGTGTGTGTACGTGTGTGTGTGTGGACGTGTTAGTGTGTGGGTGTGTGAGAGCGTTGTTTGTGCGTGTGTACTTGCGTGCGTGAATGTATGTATGTATATTTGTGCACGTGTAACAGCACTTGCCGCAACAGTGTGTTAAAGGCTATACGGGGGATCTTTGTCTTTGTCGTACGTGTGTGTGAGTGGTTTTAGGGAGCGGTATTGCAACGCTTAGCGCGCTGCGCTACGACCAACACCGGTGACGATTATCTGAACCGGTCCTGGGTCTCCCCCTAGGTAGACTCAGCCTAAAATGAATCGACTCTGTTTCGGTGTGTAGACATCGCCAATGAAGAGACAAAGGCGGCCGGGCGTGATGCTGACCAGCATCACAGCACTTGCCCCAACAGGATATGCGGTGGATTTTGCCTTTCGTGTGTACGTGGGTGTATGTGTGTGTATGTACGTTTGTGAGAGTGGGTTAAGACGTGGGTGCAAGTGCACGAGGCTTCTTGTGTTTGCTTGCTTGTGAGAACGGCGGTTGTGTGTTGGATTAGGGTGTGGGTATGTGTGTGAGGGTGGTTGTGCGTGTATGTACGTGGGGAGCGCTAATGTAGTGGTTAGCGCGCTGCGCTACAAACCTGGCCACCCGGGTTCGATTCCCGCTCAAGGCCAACACCAGTGACGATTATCTGAACCGGTCTGGGCCTCCTCTAGATCGACTCAGCCTCAAATGAGTACCTGGTGCGGTGTGTAAACATCGTCGCCAGGGAGACAAAGGCGGCTGGGCGTGATGTTGGCCACCCACTCCTTTGCGTGCCGTGCCGGCCTTCATAGGTGCTCGCTAACAGCACTTGCCCCAATAGTCCGTTAAGGCTATACGGGGGATCTTTGTGTTTTTTTTCATCTACGTACAAGTGTGAACATGTGGACATGTGGGTGGGAGTGTGTGTGTGTGCGAGATGGTGTGCATTATATATGTGTGTGTGGCTCAGTAACAAGGGTTGTTGTTTAAAACAACACCCTCGCATTTGAATTTATATAGCGTCTAAATGCGACCGCATCCCAAGATGCTGTAGACAAACAGTGGGCATGTTTATTTCATGGATGAGCGAGAGGAAGCGTCAGTCCTTCGTCGGCAGAGGAAGCAATGTGGTCTTGAATCTGGGGGAGTCGTGGATGTCTGGGGGAAGAAAGAGAACAGAAAATGCGGTGCCACGGTGGTGAGATGTTAACTACCTCTCCCGGTATACAGGAGGTCGTGGGTTCGATCCCGACCCTGACGCCTGCTGTGTATAGTTGGAGTTTGCGTGTCTCTCTCCCCGTGGTCGCGTGGATTTTTCTCCGCGTCTTCCAGTTTTTCCCTCCACGTTTAGAATCAACATCACGCGTTTAGATTGTTTGGCGACTATACATTTCCACGCGATGAGCCACTTCGTTGAGCTATCATTTGCGGTCAGATCACTTCTGAAAAAGAAAAACATAGCCCGGTGAGCCCCACCCGGTAACAAAGAAATTGTTTAGTTTAGTTTTAGAGATATCTTGAGTAAAGGGGTCGAAGATGAAGCATTTTGTGTTGAATTTCCGCTGTCCTTCCCCGCACTACTGACGAGCACGGTTGCCTACGTACGGTGTGAAAGAAGTTCGACGTAAATGCATACAAAGCACGGGAGGTTTCTGGGAGAAAGATGGAGACGGCCCTTGCACAGCCACTCCAGCACTGTCCTCGAGACAGTCTGGTCCCTTCACCTGATGAAGGCCGCTTGTGTTGTGGCCGAAACGTCGTGATTTTTGTTGTTTTATTTTTTACCCACGTGACTTTACCGAATAGAACCAAAGAGTATGGATCCTTGCAGTCACGAAAGCTTCAAATCTAGAAAAGAATAGAAGGCGTGGTTTCATGTACGCGAAAGGAGGCAGCTGTAATATATTTTTTAAAAAATCCTACATTAATTTCAAACAATAATTCATGCAGCATACATTAATGTGCAGGGAAGTCAGTTTCAACATTTGTTCAAATAAATGAAAAAAACCCCATACAGGCGGTGCTCGACTTAAGAACACTCGACGTACGAACACCCACAAGCTTCCATGACATTCTTCTTTTTACATTGAATTAAAACGCGAACCCACTTCCAAATTGAACCGCGGGACTATTTTGTTCAGCGGAGCCATCCTCTGCGAGATATAGAGTCAGCCTCGCACTCGGAGTGTTTGTCAATCTGTGTCCTTTGTGCATGCGCGCACGTGTGCGTGTGTGTGTGTGTGAAAGTGAGTGTGTGGGGAGCGGTAGTGTAGCGGTTAGCGCACCGCCCAACGCAAGCGGGTACCCGAGTTCGATTCCCGCTCACGGCCGACACCGGTGAAGTTTATTTGAACCAGTCATGGGCCTCTTCTAGATCGACTCAGCCTCAGGTGAGTACTTGGTGCGGTGTGTTAAATCATCGCCACTCGGGAGACAAAAGCGACCGAGCGTGGTGCTGGCCACCCCACCCCATCGCGTGCCGTGCCGACCTTCATAGGTGCTACTCGCTAACAACACTTGCCCCAACTGTCTGTGGATGCTATACGCGGGATATTTGTCTTGGTGCGTCTATCGATGCATCTAAGTTGGCCCGCTGACAGCACTTGCCCTGCAAGCCTGTACGCGTAAACGAGGGATCTTTATCATTCCACTGTGATCTTTAGAAATCAATTCGTACTGGGAACGAGTCGGATATCCACGCCACTTTGACATCTCGGCTTAGATATAACGTAATTAAATGCAGCAGTAAATGAATGCTTTGCGTAATTTTCATCATTTTTGCTAAATTGGGCCAAACCTATGATGCACAAGTGGATATTTTGACACCACCCAATCGGAATACTACATTTCACGAAAAACAATATCATTGCACCGTTTTATTTACCCAACAAAAACCTCGAAGAGTCTCGAGACATCGGGCAGATATGTTTTTGGCGAACTCAAATTTATCCCCGCTCCAAAGACATAGACCACCACCCCGTATCTACTAACAGACTTGTTGGGTGCAATTGCTGTTCGTGAGCACCTCAGAATCAGAATATATTTTTATACTGGAGGAATCAGATGAGCTGTAAAGCTCTTTTTCACAGATGTCCACCTAATGAAGGCCGACACGGCATACACACACACAAAGATAAACCTTTGATCTCAATCGCCGAGCCGCGTGTATTGGTAACGGGGCTGTAGTCACGACCATCGCCATCTCAAGCTCGTGCCGTCCCCAGAATACAAAACACCCCGGCTGGCTGTCTGGCTGGCCAGGGGTTATTTATTCACTCGCTCAGAGGTTTTTTTTTCTTTTGGAGTCTGAGCTTGAAGCGCAAGGTGGAGAGAATTGCGTTAAGACAAATCTCTTAGCTGCCTCTGTTAATGTGCGTTTTTTCCCCTCTCTTTCTCTCTCTCTCTCAGCATCGTTTTATATTTTTGTTAGTTGCTTTACAAAAAAATCACGTGTCTTATCTGAATATGAATGTCGTGTTGTGTAATGTACAGCAGTCAACCCATCGCTGGATGAAGGGCTCCCCACGCTGTGTCAGTCATGGAGGTTGCATTACCATACTTCACCACGCTGGTCAGTAAGGGTTAGGGAAGGGCAGAGGAGGGGTCGATGCTTTTTGCCTCGTACATGTCGCACCTAATGGATTCACACGACCTCCAGCCAACAGAAAGCCACGAACATCGATCACAGTCTCCATGGGCCATGGGCCATGGTGGCTGCTATGCTGCTGCACGTGGGCGCCTGTAATCCAGCACTACCGTGGAGGGCAGCAGCGAGGGTTGGTAGATCACCCCACACAGATGTTGCGTGAAACTCCCTTCCACCAGTGGCTGGGCGTCCAGGAGGTGCCGTAACCGTGGCTCGCCAGGGGCAAAGTGTGTGGACTAATCTCCATATGTTTCCATCTGTACGGGGATAGTGCGTTGCACCCACACTTGCGCGTGTGATTTTGCTCAGGGTGCTCCGCTTTCCTTCCGCGTGGATAATAAAGACGCCCATTATTAAATGTCTGAAATCATCTTAAAATAAAAAGTAAAAACGCCATTGGAGCATTGGCAGCAGCAGGACCCCTCCTGAAACGAAAGAGGAATTGGACTCGGCGAGGCGTTCCTAGACGAACGATTATTTGAGAAGCGATGTCTGAATCGAATCGTGACTGAATCGCGAGTAAGGGATCCGCGTCGGCCCCTTCAGTACAGTGCTGTTAATCTTCGGAAGAAATAATAGCACCGTTTGTATTTATTTATCTGAGAAACGATTTTAAATTGATCCGGGTGGCTGGGACCCAAGTGTAAGAAATCAATGTGTTTTTAAAACTGCAAAAAAAATTCCCCTGCTGCCTAATGAAGTTTCCACGATGGATATTACCGATCAATCTGCTAGTGCCACTTCTGTGTGCGCCGCGCAGGAACGAGCTGATTTCGCGTTCGGATGAAGCCTCTTGTCAATATTAGCAATCGTCTATTATCCACAAAGTTTTGCTCAATTAAATGCTCATTTTTTTCTACCCATGTGTTTTTTCTTGCTTTCTCTTATCTCAAGTTTTCATCGATCGCCGACACTCATGTACCCGTGTACCCAGGAACGCCTCCCCGAGTCTCACGGCTCTTTTATATGAGGGTCCTGTCAGATTTTACCGCAGCACGGTAGGGGGTCATTGCTGCTACGTACCACTGCATCATACGAATTGAGCAGAAAAAAATATTTTTTCCCTTTTCTCCGAGACCTTTCTTCCAATTGTCAAATCAAGAAAGGAAAACACTGGACTAGAACTCTCGCGGAGCGGCGCGGTAATGCGTGTGTTGGAGAACGACCTTGCGAAGGTAGATGTCACAGAACTACTTCTGAGACCACTTCAAGGGACACCTATAGGGGGCGCTGCACTT